AAAAAAAAAAAAAAGAAAGAAAATCATCCAACTGAATTGACAAGGAAAGAAGTCAAGTTTATCATGTTTTATTTGGGAAGGTTTTTTTGTTTGTTTTTGAGATAGAGTCTCACTCTGTTGCCCAGATTAGAATGGCATCAGCCTAATGCATAGCAACCTCAAACTTCTGGGTTCAAACAGTCCTCCTGCTTTAATCTTTCCAAGTAGCTGGGACTATAGTCTCTTGTCATACACTCAGTTAATTTTTTGTATTTTTAGTAGAGCTGGGGGTCTTGTTCTTGCTCAAGTTGGTCTTGAATACCTGAGCTCAAGTGATCCTTAGCCTCCCACAGTGCTAGGATTACAGGCATGAGCCACTGTGAATACTCACCATGCTTACTGTTAAATTTCATAACCTCTTCATCCTTATGCTGCTCATCATTTTTGTAGCATTTGATAAACACTGAATGTCTTAAAATGCTTTGTTTTATGTCAAACTATGACCTTATTTTCTATTTTTCTTTTCTTCATCCTAACTCTTGCTAGCTTCTGTCTCAGTTAATTTCTTATTTGCCAGTTTCAGAAATTCTGGGTCTTTCTATCTCATTCAGTGTACTCTCACTCTCCAGGCCTCAATTTAATCATTTTTCTTTAGACGCCTCATAGATCTGAGTCTCAACAATAGTTAATGTAATAGAAGTTAACATTTATTGAGGTACTGTTCCAATCACATGTACTTTGTTGCCCTCAGTAGAGTGCTGTGGCTCGCTCTTGCTCAGGTCTCAAACTCCTAAGCTCAAGTGATCTATCCACCTTGGTCTCCCAGAGTGCTAGGATGACAGGTAACCCTCCATGGGCTGAAATTTGAATTCTAATCTTCCTCCAGAGCTCTTCAGGGATTTTCTTTTCTTTTTTTAAAGGTTTTTTTTGTAGAGACAGAGCCTCACTTTATTGCCCTCTGTAGAGTCACACAGCTCACAGCAACCTCCAGCTCCTGGCTTAAGCAATTCTCTTGCCTCAGCTTCCCACAACGTCTAGCTATTTTTTGTTGGACTTCATCCAGGGCTGGGTTTGAACCCACCACCCTCGGCATATGGAGCCAGCACCCTACCAGCTGAGCCACAGGTGCTGCCCCTATTTTCAAAGGCTTACAACTGGCTTTACCTCAAGTGTTAAAAATGACCTCAGGTGTGGTAGCTCAAGTAGTAAGTAAAACCAAGACTTTGAGAGGCCTAGGCAGGAGGATTACCTGAGGTAAAAAGTTGAAGACCAGCCTAGGCAACAGAGTTAGACTCTGTCTCAAATGAACAAGCAAGAAAACCAAACCAAAACAAAAAACTCTGAAATCTTTCTTAGTTTAAATGATAATAATTAACACTAACAATGTTAATGGCTTACTATGAGAGTTTACCATGTGCCTGATACTATGCTGAATATTTAACTTGTGTTACCTCATTTAATTCTCAAAATAATCTTTTGAGATTGTATTATATCCATTTTACAGATGAAAAGTCAATTCTCAGATTAAATGCCTTCCTTATACTGATAAGTGGTAGTGCCAGGATTTAAAGTTAAGATTAACTGACTCCAAAGCCTAAGTTTTTTTTTTTTTTTTTTGAGTCATCATTTTATACATGTTGCCCTGGGTAGAGTGCAGTGGCATCAGAGCTCATAGCAACCTCAAACTCCTGGATTTATGTGTTTCTCCTGCCTCAGCCTCCCAAGTAGCTGTGACTACAGGTGCCTGCCACAACACCTGGCTAGTTTTTTCTAGTTTTCTAGTTTTTTAGTTTTAGTAGAGACAGGTTCTTGCTCTTGCTCAGGCTGGTCTCAAGCTCCTGGCCTCAAGTGATCCTCCCATCTTGGCCTCCCAAAGTGTTAGGTTTGTAGACTCATACATATGAGCCACTGCACCCAGCCTCATAATGTATGTTCGTTCTTTCAGCAACTTTTTAGCTATCTAACATTCTGGAATAGAGAAGAGTATACCAACAGGCATTCAAAAAGGTTACAGACCACTGGAAAATTATTACAAACATTAAACTGTGTGGTACAGTTGAAACAGTGTAATCAGCTAGACATGATCACTTATGTCTGTAATCACAGGACTCTTGGGATCTTC